GTGTTGCTCCTGTCGCCCATGTCGTAGGACTCATCAAATGCCTTCTTCTTCGCCATCTTCTTCTGCAGACGACGCTCCTGTTCTTCTGTCAGTGTTTTACCACTCACAATAGCCGCTGCCTCCTCCAAATCGTCGTTATTATTACTGTTATCATTGTTATCGCCGTCGCCGTTATTCCGTCCATTATCCTCGCCAACGCGACTATGGTGTGGGTCGTAAAACTGGATGGCATCTTCGTCGCCGTCGTTGCGCAGAGAAGAGACCGCTCCGGAAACAGAAGCAGCCGCCATTGTTGTGGTGGTTCCTTTTGTTGTTGCCTGTCGCGGCGCCAAAAAAGTCGACACGAGATCGTCCAGTTCGGCGTCTGCAAAGGCGGATTTGCACACCGCCGCGTCATCCTCGGCGAGAATGTCGTAGTCACTGCCGTCAATGCCATCATCATACGCATCGTGCCCCCTTTTCTTCTCCCCCCAGTCGCCACGATGATGTCTTGTATCCGCAGGCCGGAATGCACCCCATGTTGACGACGATGAGAACTCATTGCCCACTGCAGCCAGTGCGTCTACTCGCTGTCGTCCATGCCTCTCCTTTTCCCTCCTTTCCTCCCCCTCCGTGTCGCCATTGAATTGGTCTTCGTGGTCATCATCCGACTGAGCACGGGCGGAGGTGGTGGTAAGTGGCCTCTCGCCGCGGACTATGGCGTCGAACTCCTCGTCCTCGCTCTCATACCCTTTGCTCGCCTCACTCCCCAGACGGTCCTCACCGCTGGTCTCTGCTGCATCGGCCGAACAATTCCAGTCTCCCGTGACGCAGAGGTTCTTTAGCCGACGAAGCAATGCGGTCTCAGACCAGTCATGACGCACGACATTCTCCCGGATGGCGTCAGGCGCATTGCGACCACGTGGTGCGAGACCTTCATCCCCCGCCGCGGCCTCCTGATCCTCCCATTCGTCGACTTCTTGTGGACCGTAAAGAGACAAGTCATTTCTAGGCATGCGATCCTCCAAGTCATCGTTTCTGCTGCTGCTACTGCTGCTGCTGCCTTCGTCTTCCTCATCTGAAGGCGCCTCCACCTCATCCATATCAAGCTCCATCGCATCCTCGTCGCGAAATACTACAGGACGACGGACGACGTCCAAATCCGTGGCGGCGGCGTCCATAGGCTTCGCACGCTGCAGTTCTCTTATGTACTGCAGTCCCTCACCGGAGCGCTCAATCATCCCCTTCTCTGCGTCCTCCTGGATGTATATAGCGTCGTCATCGTACATCACACCGCTCACATTGCAGTGAGGGGCATAAATACGTTTTTGTTTCATGCTGAGATGCCGCATCTTGTGCCCCTGTGAATTGCCACTGCCTTGGTGATCATCAATGGCACAGGGGTCCTCTTGTTGAGAAATGTGAGCAATAGGAAAATCTGCCAATCCAGGAATGTGCACAACTTGTTGCGGTTTCAACGGCTTTCCACGTGTGTACCCGTAGAAGGCAATGGTGCGGTTGCAGTTCTCATCCTCCACAATGTTCTGTGGGGCCGTAATGTCCTCATAGCGATCAATCAGCACACAACTGTGGGTATTCCGCCAGCTCTGTAACTTAGGCTCCACGCAAATGAGGAGTCGATGCAGCTTGAGAACGTCAGTGGAACGATACATGCCACGCACCATGGGTGCTAAACACATCAGCTTTGCCCCAGCTGCCACTTCATGCCAAAAACGATGTCGAAGAAACTTCTTTCGCTTCTTCAGTGCCTTGCCAGTCCTAAGCTGATCAAGATGAGAAACAACACCAAACATGCGGGGAAACCCGTGGACCTGAGAAATATTGAGAAACTCAAACGTCTCCATCTCAAAGCCAAAACTGCCATCAACCATAAGCAAAATGAGATCCGCCACCTTGGCGATATCGCACATCGCCGTCAGTGTGTTCGGACACTCGATGAATGTCACACGACGACTACGACCCGCCACCACCGTGATGGGTCCCCGCACTGTCTGCACATTGCGGTTGCTGTAGAACTTCACCATGGAGCGGATCAATGTTGACTTGCCAACACCTGGTGGTCCCACCACAGCAACGAGCAGTGGGGGTTCCGCCACAATGTGTCGAAGAGTCTTATCCACTGTGGGTACATGCAGCGCCGTCTCGCGTTTTTCAAGACTTCGAAGAAGTTTTTGTCCCTTGCGACTTCCTGCCGTTGGACCCTGAAATGCCTTCCTGTTTTTGCCACGGTTGGGCTCAAGCTCGATGCCTGCCTTCTTCTTGCGAAATTCCTCCTTTTTGGCAGCCTTGCTACCAGCCTGCCGGCCCTTGTGGCTCTTGTTCCTCTGCTCCTTGTCACCGTCCATCGCACAGCCCACGTGCACCTACGGCTTTGCTTCTCCTCCTCCTCTTTCTTCTTTTTTCTTTCTCCCCTCTGAGTTGTTGGCTGGATTCCCGTGCAATTTCCCCAAAACCTCACCACCACGAGGGGTTTTGGTCCTACGGTTTCTAATAAAAGACACACAAAAAAAAAAAATAGAAAGAAAAAGAGAAGGAAAAAGAAAGGCTTTCAAAAAAACATCACTCGTCGTGTATATTTATGGGCCATTCATTCGTCTTCTCAAGGAAAAAGATAGAAATACACGCACAGAGAGATCCGGAAAAAACAAACAACAAAAAGGAAGAAAAAAAAGAGGAAAATAGAGTCAGATAACTTTGTGTGGTCCTTACACATGGCCGATACCTGTGGCCCCCTACACCTGCGTGGCACACAACTGCACAAAGTCATCATCAAAGAGAGAAGGTAGACTGCGATGACACATATGCCAGAAGATATTACGCAGTAAACCACGATTAAAAGGGTTCTTTTTGTTCGCGTAGGTATTTTGCAGGCGCTCACGTGTTGTCGTCTCCACCGCGAGGGAATACAACATCGTTAGGCCGAGAAATCCCACCACAAGACCAAAACCCAACAACACCGCGATCAACAGCAAACCAATGCCAAGCTGCCGCGCGGTGAGGGAGTTTGCATCGAGAAAAAGCTTCACCAGCAGAGACAATCCGGGAAGCAGCGCCAAGAGAGCAGTAGTAATAACAAAAAAAAAAAAGACGCGTACGTTCCGACGCCCCACGCATACACCGATCACGGAGCAGTGATGATCGTGGTCATGGACACACAAGCCGCAGAGGTAACAGTGCGCCGCCCTCACAGGCCGATAAATTTCACACGTCGAGCACCACTTGCGCTCCTCTGGTTGTCCGTTCACCATCTCCCACCGACTCTCCCGTTGTTTTGCCTCAATTTCTTTCAGAGTTAACTCACCCATATGACTGCCGTTGGTCTCCAGGTACGCAGGACGCACAAAGCCGGGGTCCGTGTACACACAACACACCAACAGAACCATGAATAACACCAAAAAAAAAGTCACGAAGCGGTGCATGCACCACATCCATTCGTCATCAAGTGATTTGGTGTAAAATGTGGTCATCAAGTAAAGAAGAATGGCAACGGTGAGTGGGGCAGAATATGAGACGGAGGTTTTTGTTACGGGTATATTCACCGGCCAAAAAAACAGTAGCCGCTTACGAAATATCCGCACGTGGCCTATTCTTGCAACCGGCTTGGATCCAAACACAATGTACTCAATCACGTACACCAAAGGGTAAAGAAACGAAAACCTCTCGGAAAGAGCTTGTATGCGGCGTGCTGAAAATGCCTGTCTTGCTTCCCCGCCCATGGTCGTTGGCATTTCTTTCTGTTGCTGCTCTGCAAAATCTGCAAGCACCATGGAGAGCTGCGTCGTGGCGGAGCCTCTACCCGACTCCTCCACCTCGGGTGAAAAAAAAAAGCCACCGTTGACGTCCTCGGCGAGTACACCCGTGTCGTTTGGAGGGAGAGGCACAGACGGGTTACGCAAGTCAATCAAAGTGCGGCAGAAATGGCACTGAATGCCGTACACGGACCTGCTGAGACAGTCAAAGGTGACATTGTTGCTGCATACCGGGCAAATCACGCTATACTCACGACCCACAACAGGGGCCCGTTCAACGCGTATGGGCCCCATCCACCGACACCCGCTCCTTCACTACACTACACTCCTGACACCTTGAGCGCTTCTCGAAAAAAGAAGCAAAAAAAAAAAGGATAGGGGAAATCGAAAGAAAAAAAATGCACTTCTCGCGGTTATAAGAGGAACAAATATCACCAATTGGAAACAAGCAAAAGAAAACACGTAATGCTACACGTATACATATACATATACATATATATATATACAACAAGAAAGAAAACTGGATCACTCAGAAGGGTGCCAAATTTCAACTAGCATCGCCCCCTCTCTTCCTCCCCCACATTCGACTCAACACACACACACACACGCAAAAAAAAAAAAGGACCCACGGCATCTGCCGCGGAGCAGACACAACTGCAATGCGTGCTCATCAGTCACAGAGAAAGCATAACCCTTTTTTCGCCTTCCCACAAGCACACAACTCGCCGCGTGATGCGCGGTCCTTCTTACGCCCCGCTGCATGACGCTCAGCAGCCATCATACCTATAGCGGCCGGCACAAACTGTGCGCGACAGGACTGGCACACCACACCCCGCATAATATGAGCAGAGAACTCGCCTGCACCACAGCAAGGGCAAGCTACACTCGAGGATGCCAGAGTGGTAGCGGGTTTCCCAGCGCCAGATTGCTGCCGCCGATTTGTCTCGTGGCATGAAGTTGGTTCCCAATGATGGCCTGTCTCTTTTCCTGTCGGGTGGTTAACAGGCGCCATCTCCTCCTCGTCGTCTGAGATATTGAACTCTGCAAAAAGCTGCATTAGAGTTCGCCGGCCCGTACTCCGTTTTTCCTTCTGCACCGCCTTCCGTTCAGCGTTTCGCTTTTGGCTTGCATGCTCCTGTTCATCATCTCGCCGTGATGCCTGAAGACCTCCGGCCTCGTCCACGTGTTCCTCATCGTCACTAGAAAGATCCAGAGCAGGGAGTGGCCTCGTTCTTTTTGCCGGCGGCTTCGTCCCGGGGCAACCCGTCGACACCGACGCAACGGGAGGCTCAGAGCTATCCGGCGCCGCAAATGCGCCAAAAACATCAGGGGGTAACGGTATCTCAAACAAACTATTTCCTGCAAAGGCATGTTGCCGTTGTTTTTGTTCTTCCTTACGAACTCCAGGGAGTGTAGACTTGGCAAAAGCAAAAGATGGCGGTGGCGGTGGCGGTGGCGGTGGCGGTGGAGAAGAAGAAGGGCACGGTGGTGGGAAATTTGGTCGCGTTTTTTTCTCTTCTGGTGCCTTTGATTGGAGCGACTCCAGCGTGGCCTCGAAGCTTTGCTGCAGGAGCTGAAAAGCCTCATGTGCACGGGGGTGTCCGTTCTTGTCAGGGTGAAGACGCAGCGCCAGCGCCTTGTACACCCGCTTCAAAGCCGACTCTGCCGTCACACCGTCTGCGCCAAAAAGCCGCACCGGATTGCCGTTCGTGCGCATCACATAAAACACGAGTGCCTCGCCGGACAACTCACTCGGAGCTGTCATTTAAACCGCAGCGACAGCGTGGCCGCGCGGAGGTGGGAGGAAATATTTGTGCGTGTGCCTTCACCGTCCCCACAGCGCCGCTGCTGTCGAACACTACACTTAAAACCCCTTTGGATTTCTTTGGCAAAACAAAGGAAAAAGAAAAAAGAATCAAAAAAAGGTCAGAGGAAAACAATCAATACAAGAAAAGAAAAAAAACAAATGCGACCACCAACGACCCGCGCGCCTTCCCGTCATTTCTCCTCAGAAGTGGAATTGTAACGTCAATCACGCCAAACTCACACCCTTCCCTTCAAAGGCATCTTTCGTTGTTGCATTTTATGTGACCATTGCTTTCCATTCCTCTATGATGCTCATTTCGTCATTATTTTAATCGGGCAAACAAAGCAGCCCCAATTGACCGCACCAAGCAGCAAAGGCATGCAGCACCCAACCCCGTCAATATGCAGACAAGGATGCGATGCTATTTCGCACCTCCTCTTTCATTCCACGTTATATCCGGCTGTTGTTTTTTTTTTCCTCGTCTTCCTCTTCTTGTTGCCTGTCCCTGTGTTTCTAAGTATAAAGGGACCATGGTGCATTCAGTACCGCACAACATTTACTTGTGTCGACTCGCGCTTCCGGATCTCCGCAACTGCTTGCATCAATCCGCCGTACGGCACAACATACAAGATTGAAATTGGAATATCGTTCTCCGGCTGGCCGTCGTACTGCGGGCGACAGCGGTAGGCCAAAGTGGCGATGCGCTTGTCTCGGTATTCGTAAATAATTGAGTCCTCCTCACGCCAAAACAGATATCGGCACAAGTCAAACTCTTCCGGCTGCGCTGCGTTCTGTCCACGCCTCTTCTTGGGCAGGGGATCCTGTCTTGCGTTCATTGGTGTTGGTGTCTTTAAAGGAGCATCCACCGCCCGCTGTATCTTAGACAGCATCGCAAACATGCACGGGAATATGGCCTGAACCGTCGACGGTGCGTCTTCACAGGCCTTGTTGCTCATGGAGCTCCGCGCGTTAAACGCGGTCTCAACGCGTTCCATCATGTCATGGAGGATTTGAGACGTCAACTCCAGCGGAACATTTCGGACGTACTCGCCAACGAGCAGCACACACTTCGCCCTCCCTGTCGCGTCGTCGATAGACTTCAAAATTTCGGTTGGGAGAATACCCGGCGCGACGGTGCGCCAAACGTTTTCTCGCAGCGTATGAAGCAGCGATTCCAGCCGGGTGTCGTGCACCGCGTCCAAAACACTCGCCATGCCATAAATTTCCTCCTCCCCCTCCTCTTCACCTTCGTCGTCGTCGTCGTCGCCGATCTTCACAACACACGTGAAGGGGCTTTCGTGCAGCGCCGCACCCAATTCGTCACGGTCCACCTCATTCATTTTATCCGGGCATAGTTGGTCAATGAGGTGCATGACAGCATTCACATCCCGCCGCATCTCAAACACGCCAAATTCCACGTTAATGAGACTGGCGTTTTCTCCATCACCGTCGTCGTTGCTGCTGCCCATCATGACAGAAGAGCTGTCGTCCGCATCGTCCTTCGGCGTGCCGGCGGGGGAGGAGACATTCCCATCGTTCCCCATCTCACTGCTGTGAAACTCATCGCTGCCGCAACTCTCCTGCTCCGCCACCCCGTCGCCGTAGTCCTCAACGGCAAACGGCAACAAATTCTCCGGCTCACGGTGACGCTTTGGCATCACTTAATCGCCCTAAAAAAAAAAAAAAGGCGGCACTTCCCCCGCCCGGCGTCACCCTTCTTTCTTTTTTTCCCCTGCGATATGATTGACAAGGCGTAGCAAACACCGGCACATAAAAAAACAAACACACACACACAGCAAGAGAAGTAAAGGGAGAAAAAATAAGAGCGGGAGGCAACAGTGTATGTAAACTGAAAACGCTGAAAAATAATAATAATAATAATAATAAAAGAACAGTAAAAGGGAAGTGCACACAAGCTTTAATGCAAGCTGAAAAAATGTTTTCCTCCTCTCACCCTTTCTTTCTAACTCTCATAGACAAACAGGCACATTCCATCGTAGTAGTCAACAGAAGGGGGGGAAAAAAGCCCCCATCTCTGCCCCACTCCCACTTACTGAGGCCACCGACGGTTCTGCAGGATGTTTACTCAAGGAAAAACAAAACAGAAAATAACAAATAGGCCCACGCAACACACAACCACCGTCAATAATCACCAAATCGCATGTAAAAATGCGCCTGCAAAGGAGAAAACAAGCTGAGAATAAAGGTGGTGAATATGTCCCTCGCGAAAAAAAAAAAAAAAACGGTTCTTTGCCCTCATGTTACTTCTCGGTTCTCCCCGTATCCCTCGCTTCATTCCTTTTTTGCATCCGCGCTCACTTTTGAGATTTCCCTCCAACACCCCTCTACATCTCTGTTTTTTTGTTTTTTTCCTTCCTCTTAATTATTCATCGTTCTTTACTTCTTCCTCCGCTCCCTCGTTCTGCTTGCCGCCTCCCTCGCATCTCAGCACAACACTCGCACGTCGGAAACTACCAGTCGTCATCCATTCGCTTCCTCGCAAATGTGATGCTGCTCTTCGCCTCCACCCCCTGCGATGCCAACTGCGAAAGAATCTCACGTACCGTCTCATCCGTTACGGGTGGCTGCAGCTTCCCCTGGCGCACCGACTGGATGATGTAACTCTCAACGGCCTGCGCCCGCTCCACCTTCACCTGTTCAATCCGCTTCAGCCGCTCGCGCCCCTCCGCCGTCACAAACGCACGCAAAAGACCCTCCCTCTGCTCATTCATCGCATCCACTCGATCCTGCTGCGCCTGCTGCTTCATAAGCATCTGCTGCGCCTGCTCCTCGCTGATTGGCACGCGCGACATTTGGTCAAAAAAAAAAACCTATATATCACAAAAAAAAAAAAATTCCACTTACACCACTTTCACAACGGCAAAAAAAGAAATAACAAAAATAATAAACATCATTCCCGCAGCGCACACACTGACAACAAAAATAAACAAAGCCTCCAAATAAAGCCGAAGCACAGAAAAATGTTCTGCAGGGATGCTGGCAGAATCCCGAACTGATACGCACAAATAAAATAGGACGGGAAAAAAGGGGGCCATGGAGAGGCAGCGGCCTCGCCACATCCTCAATGTTTGTCCCAACTACATCTATATATTCGGATAGGCACTCTCGTGCCACGGTGCGGTGTATTCGGGTTGGAGACATTTATTACTTACGAGTTAGAAGACTTTGGGCCCTCCAGCCACAAGACCCCGCCGCAAGGTCGGAATCAAAGAGGGTGGATGGCAAAAATAAAAATAAAATTCGTCTTGCCGCTATCGGTTCCTTAACTCCTTCCATCGGGGCCTTTCAAAGGACCATAAGATGGGAAAGGGATCACACAGAAATATTTTCGTCGTTTTACCAAAACTTATATTAAATTGGGCAGCCAGCCCTCTCGATAACATTCTTCTCACAGGCACTCAAAAACACCATCACACCATCTACGCAGTGGCACGCACACGGAGTGAGGAGAGGGCACAGGAGAGAGAAGTAAAAAATAGTCGACGACTTGATTTCCTCCAGCACAAGTCAAGGAAAAACAAATGTAAACACCTCGTGCCCTCGCCATGCTGTCGCCATGGCTGCGACGGATGCATTCCGTGGCCCACGGCGAGTCCGGCGTGACTCCCCACTCCCACAACCATTCATCACTGACGAAAAGGAGGTGTCGAGTGCGTCTTTCGCTCGCCTCCTGCGTGGGGCGAGGAGGATCGCGTGGGGCGGGCCCCCACACCAATAAGCTGGGCAAAGAGGTCACGGCTGGGCAGTTTTGCCGCCCACTCTCAGCGCCTGCCATTCCCCCGCAGCAAAAATGAATAATAATAAAACACAGGAGAGGCCCGTCTGCGTGGAACGCCGCGGCGAGGGTCCTCGTCCCCGCCCTCAGCACAGCAGTCACGGACACCCCCGCACTCATTGGATAACGGCGACTTCCCATCGCCTGCCCGCACCAAAAGACGCACGTGGGTGCATGCGGTGCTGGGACTCGTCTCCTCCCTCCAGACCACTCCGCCACCACGCGGTTGCGCAGAGGCCCATTCCCCCAGCACACAAATGTCCGTTACGCCACGCATCGCAGGCACACACAAAAAAAAAAATACACTCATTGTCCGTTTTTCAAGGGCAAAGAGAGGAGTAGCGAACAGTTGCACGGTGCTATCATTACTGCTGTGCTGCGTCCCGCGAGTGCGGGGTCGACAAGCCATGTGCACGTCACGACCCTGACGCACGCTGTTCGCGCATTCTGTTTTTTTGGCTTTCGTCGCCTTTAAAATAAATCTGATGCCCCGCACGCCGGCCACCATCGCAGTGCCGCCCGCCCCACAATCCACGCTGGCCGATTAATTTATTGGCGGCAAAATCCCGGAATCAGAGTCGCCGCGGCCGCTTCCTCGGAACCTCACCCCCGTCTCCCTCCGCACCCTCCGCGGATGTCGGGTCGTCCACTAGAGGCGGGTCAACGACCGGTATTGGGTAGCCGCTGATGTTCGGGAAGGCGGTGCACACATCGGCGTATTGGGGGCACACAATGCTCCCACGCCAGGGACCCGATGGCGGCGTGACGGTCTCACCCGCCTGGCACTCGTGCCACGCATCGTCATCAAGGAACCGCACGCTCAGTGTGCCGTCGCCGCATCGAGTGTCCACACACACATCACCAATATATTCGTCGTCGAATTGAAGATCCTGCCCCTTCACGCACCGCGAGTTCGGGCCAACGACACTGCCAGGCAGTACGGAAGGATCGCCGTTGGTGCAACCACCATTAGAATACGCCTCAAAATACGGGCATCTGCTCATGCAGGGGTCATCACCGCCAACTCGGGGATCAGCGAAGTACCGATACTCCTGTGGCAGGGCTTCCTCGTGCCTCATCAGCCTACAGTACCCCAGAGACAGACGGTCGTACGTGCAGAAGAACTTTTCATCGTCGTCAAACTCGTTGCAGAACAGTTGAG